TTTCTTCCTTCACAATAAGCACAAATGCTAACGACATAGGTGTTTCTGAATTATAGTGCTGCTCGATTTCTGGAAGTCTAAAATGAATTCTGTATAAACTAAATAAAAGGAGTGTACACTTGCAACCATAATCGTTTGTAATTACCATTCCATGTATGTAATAATTTAGAAAGCTAAAGGTACATGTGGTCTGGATAGAATTGGTGTGGCAAAAAGATTCACTGACTACTTTTTTCTTCCATATAGATTACTTCTAGAACCAAGACAAAGAAATTCTCAGGCTTGGCAAGATGCAGTTGTGAATCTTGATTAAATCAGATCTGTATAATGGTCTAAAGGCCAAACAGATGTGTTATTAATATGTTTATGAATTTATATATGGCCCGTTTTCTACTGTAAATAGTTGCAACCATGCCTGGCTTAGTGAGTAAGCTTATTTTCAATGCAAACAGTACCTCTTGGAAAAGAAAGGATGGAGTCCTTACTCTACAGTACTGCTTATTGTAATCTTGCAAAAGAAGTCCAGCTTTGGATTAAGAACATTTTTCTGAGTTGCAACCAGACTGTAGAAAAGTAACATTTTGAGTTCAGCTACTGCTACTATAATTAAATCATTTCTTCTAAATACTTTATTTATAAAACATTTCAGCAAGATAAAAAGCTTCTGAAGGCTAGCCTTTTTACTAGTTCCACTGAATGTAAGATAATATATTTAATGCTACACCAAGGTAACAACTTGCCACATAGCTATCTGCAGGGGATAGAGTGGATTTGGGACAATGGGGATATAAGAAAATATAACACGCAAATGATGCAACTTGTATAGTGTCAGAAGGCATGACACAATTAAATAATTGTTATTTTGATGTCATCATGTTCTGTTAGGGACACCTATGGCTCCCCATAGAGTTGTCAAGGCAAGCAAAGGCTAAGCTGAAACTAGAAGAAATATCTGGAAATAGAACCAGAACAATTCCATGAGCAGATGAAAAGTAGTTCTGCTATTTACAAAAATCGTACCAGACTAATTGCATTTTCTAGGGGAATAGGCAGATAAAGGCTTCAGGAGTCTGACCTCTGTTGTTTCCTCCAACAGAGAAACTTTAAGCTAGCCAGGCCCTTTATTCCACCTTCTGCCCTAGCTAGAGATATCAGCACAATAGTTTAGTGACAGAAAAACAAAAAGTAACAAAAATCACCCACCTTCAGTATTAACACAATTTATATACTGATATAAATATATTTTATCTGATTAGTGTGGCTCTCCAGAATGTCATGCAATTTTGTCTGCCAAGCATTACAGTTATTTTGCATGAATTGCATACAGGAAAGGGCTCAGTTATATATTTTGTATGCAAACTGTATCAGGTTTAATATTCGAGACCCTAATAAAAATTAGGTAATAAGCAATGTCAATTTTTACGTAGGCTTCTTAGTATACTAAAGAAAAGTTTTTAAAATGAAAGGTTTGTTTCTTCTGACAAGTCTATAATAGCATTCTTGCTACAGAGGAAGGAAGAGATGAGAATATCATTATGTTTTGTTCTGATTTTTTTTTTAATATGCTGAAGTGATTTAATTCTGGATGCAAGCTTCTCAGGGAGCAAGAAATTGAATGCAATTATATATGTCTCATGTAAGATACAGAATGAAAATATCCTATTGGTAACTTCAAAGGGGGAGAAAAATCAATTGAAGGCAATTATTTAATGCTTGCCTGTATGTCTCTCATGAAAGAATGAGTTATTAGAAAATCCCTAACCTTCATCATAAGAAGTTGACATTCCTCAAAAAATATCTGCTCAAGGAAAATTGACTACTGAAAGCTGGGTACTTTTTGAAATATAATTTCATTGGGAAATGTCCTAAATGTGTGTAGTCCTGCTTGCAGCTATTTATAAAGTGAAACTATAGATGAGGAGTGGTGAGTTAGGCAGTTCAAATGGCTGCATGCCTGCTGTAAATTAGAATTCCCCCAAGATCATCCAGAGGAAGATTCGCTGATCCAAGCTACTAAAAATAAAAGCTCTCCTGTTCAGCAGACACAGTACAGAAAAAGGACATTCCAAAAACATCCACTGAAATGCAGTGCAATCAATATGATACACTAGAGTCCAGTTGAGGCAAGGCACACCCCATTGTGATCTAAACGAAATAGTTCTGCTATTCATAGCAAGAGTTCTCTTTCCTCCAATCACTGCAGGAAATACTCTTACAGTAGCAAAGACATAGTAGGCCAACTTTGTAATTCCTTTAAGAAGCAAAAATTAGTGTAACAATAAAGACCAACAAAGTAAAGATATGAGAAAATGCTAAGACACATTTCACCTTCTTTGCTTTAAAGGCCTAAGCAAGAGCTACAATAGATCTTGATCACAATGGAAGATGAAACAATTTAAGAGTACTTTTCAACATTTGGCTCACCTAACTTCGTTCTTACAGTGACTGACCAAACAGCTATTTCCCTTAATTTAAGTTCTACCATTTCCTGTTTGTATATTTCCTGTTGTTTTCAGGTTGGAACAGTAAAGGGAATTAATACAGCAATGTCAGCTGATACCTAAAGACTGTCAGCAGGTCCTACATATTTAAGAAGCCAAAAATAATTTGCCAGAAATGTTATGTTTCTTTCTGGGTGACTAGTATTATTTGCAGGGCTTAAACCATCTAATCCTCTACACTGCAGTGCTACTTGACTTGAAAGAACTCTTTGAACTGATGCTTCTGAATATAGAGTAACAACCATGTAAGTTCAATTAAATTCCAGTGGGCAGCCCGAAAGGTATGTGTGTGTTTATTAATCTGAATGCTAAATCTTGACAAATGGACGCTGGAATATCTCTCAGGCTCCCACTGGAACTCTGATGGGTGTGTTTTCAGATTATTTTGGATATGCTTTCAAAAATAACTCTGCCATATATATATTTAAATAACTAGATAACACTAAATTTAACTAGAATGCTGAAAGAGATTCCTTTGAGCCTTTGCTCTTTTGAACCCAACTACCTGTAAGAGTAGATCTTCATAATGATCGGGAGGCCTAGCAGCTGTTGTGCAAACAATACACAGGTGCAGGATGTCCTGCATTCCCCAAAGCAGTGGGCCTTCTTCCCCTTCCCTAAGGGTGCAGGGTCAGAATTCTTAGGCTGCCACCTTTATCATTTTCTCTAATAAATGTCTCCAGTCAGGAGATACTTGTTTACTTCTTTTAGTCCTGACTGTAGTAAGAGAGATCTGACGCCACCAAAAGGTTATTTTCAGTAAAGATATCTGCATTACCTTTTGAATCATTATTTAAATCAAGACAAAATACATTTTCTCTTCATCCACTGCTTTTTACATGCTAAGTCATGTTTTTAAAATTTGTGCAGTGACTATTTTAGATAGGCCACCAACTAGTGAGTTCCCTACATAAACGTCCAACTATTTTACTGCAGTGTGCAAACCACAATTTAACGAAAGGTAGAATGATACCTGATATTGGGAGAGATCTTTAGGTTTGCTATTTAAAATATATGCATATCAAAGCCATAATCCATGTGCACTTACACTTACACCATGAGAATATGTCAAGCAGGCTGTTTATTGCAAGTTATTCGCTTGTATTTTATGAGGTTTCACATGGATTTATATGCTCACTATCTCCAAAGTAATTGAAATCTTATCTTCAGCTTTGTCTTAATTTATACTGGAATAAGCATGATGCTGAATGAGCAGCATCTTCTTACCAGATGCCTTTCTATTAATTCTTACAAGATTTGTGCTGTTGCATGAAACTAATATATTGCAACGGACAAAAAAACAAGAGGACATACTCTCGACTTCTTTGTGGGTGCTATAACTCTACATAACAATTATATACATCAGACCTTCCTCCCTCTCCAGAAAAGCCCTATGAATGAGATCTAGCATCAATGCAGGATTGGTGGGTAATTTTTTTCCCCTTTACAAGTAACTCACGTGGTACAATTTAACTTCAGTAAGTGGAAAACTAAAAATTCCCAAATATTTACAGGGGGAGATCTAAAGCCCAAAATTCATATTAATTTGCATAGCCATAAGCAGATAGCACTGAGTTACTGCAAATAACCCCCATTTTCCAGTAATCAGTTGGGATTTAGATTTACATTATCTCAAGACAAATATTTGATTGAGTACATTCAGTGAACTTTAAGGCAGGCTAACCCATTAGCAGTGAAATTGATGTTGATGGACTTGGGAGAGGAAGAGAAGTTTTTGAAATACAGCCAAGGCCACAGCTTAGGCTTGAAATGTCACTCTGCAGAGCCACACGGTAATACAAGGTAACACTAGAGGTAGCCCTCGACCTACAGCTATTTGTTTAGCAACTGTTCAAAGTTAAAATGGCACTGAAGTGATTTATGACTAGTCTTCACATTTATGGCCATTGTAGCATCCCCATGGTCACAGGATCCCCATTGCAGCATCCCCAATGCAGGCACTTGGCAAATGGCATGTATTTAGGACACTTACGGTGTCCTGGGGTCACTTGATCGCTATCTGCCACCTTCCCAGCCAGTTTCCAACAAGCAAAGTTAATGCGGGGGGGAGGGGAGAATTGGATTCGATAATGACCATCTGATTCACTTAACAACCATGTCAACCACCTTGCTTAGCAACAGAAATTCTGGTCCCAACTGTGGTCGTAAATCGAGGACTACCTATAGCAGCAGCTTCAAAAGATGCAACTGGTGTTATGTGAAAATATTCTGTTTACAGAGAAGGTGAAATAAAAAGAAATCCTGTAATTATAGGCAATTGTAAGAAAGTAGTTAATTAATATCACAATAGCGTAATTGAACGATGAAAGCCTTAAATAATGGCAAGGTGCTTCTATCATGCAGAGATGAAGTTGGCTGCCGCAGACATGAGTAATATTCTCCAAAATAAGCTTTTTGCTTGACCTCTCTTTATGTGTGGCATTAACTATTTTTAAGACTTGTTTAGACTAACCAGTAAAGTACCACCAAGAAACAGAATGATTATAAAACGGCCATGTGAAGAAGTTTTAATAACAGTTTGGACAAGCATATAAGCACTGGCATTCCAATATTATATCTAAACAAGGCTGCACTGGAGGACAATGATTTATCTAATAGAGGAGAATATTTGTAGCTCAGGCTTGAAATGAGGGGTCCTTGGTGCTCTCTGAACTTGGTTGTTTTCTTGCAGACACTGTTTACCCAAACTAGGTAACATCAACAGTGCAGTCTATGTTTCTATTTATATGTTGGTACAGAAGCAGCCTAATTATCTCCAATTCATTAGAAGGGTTTTTAACTAACATGAGGTTGAATCTTAAAAGTCCTTTTAAGCACTCAAGGTCCTAAATGTGTTTACCAGGAATTTTTGCTTTCCTCACCCCATGTTAGGTCTCTGAAACAGCACAAGAGTTTTGAGGGAATTTCTCAGGCATGGTCCAATGCTAGCATAGAAGGAACTGACAGCTAGGTTCTTGCTGAAGCCTAATTAAAGTCTTGGAAAAGATCCTTATTCAGACTTCAGTTTAATGTACTGAGCAAACTGCCTTGAAAACATCCCAGTAAATACGTCCCTGACATCTTTCTTTCACACATTCAGTTCCACATATGCTGCTGGACAAACATTGTATCCTTGATAAAACAGTGAACAGTCAAAGCTATTGGACTTATAATGCCAATCTCTCCAAGCTACAATAAATTCTAAATAATTATTGCCAGTATATGGCTCTTTGGACTAGATGGCATAATGTCCTCAGCTGATTCTTGAAAGTAAACCTCAGAGCAAACCAATGACATAAACATGGAAAGATATGGAATGCACAATACATTTCATTATTAATGTACAGATTTGATTAGCGGGAATGCCAAATACTCCATAATTGTCTTTTTCTTTTCAGAGAAACTTCTAATAAAACATACAACATACTGCAAAATTAGAATTTTGAACTCTTAGACAAATTCATATGGGCTGAAATTTATCTTGACTCAATGCTTCCAATTGCATTGGTTAACAATAATATTTCCCAAGAATGCTGAATTATATGGTATAGAATATAAAAGTATAAACTCTATTTCCAACGTAACCTTTGCAAATCCCTTTTAAGTGGCAAATTAAGAGCAAGCCACCAGATATGTTCCAGTGAATAGGAAATATCAAAGCCTTATAAATTATTTTACACACAATGAGTTTACCTGCCTATATTTTAAAGAGAAAAAACATGAGGTATGCTTGCTCTCTATTTACAACAAAAATAAATGATGAGAAATAATGTGATGGGGCAAGATTAATGTATAGTTTAAAATAAATGGAAAGCACAACCAAAGCTAAGAAATAATCTGTTTAAAAGAGGGTATAACGAGATGAGTTCAACTACATGGAAGCAACATCTACACTGTCCCAGACAGTTAGTTCTGAATGCCATTTCTGGATTATTTGTTCCCAAAGAAAGCCTCAAAGTACACTAGCAGCAACCTCTACTGGATAGTGAGGGAAATCTTTCCCAGTAATATTCTAGAGGATGCCAACTGATTTAAGGCCCCATGCTCAGGCTGGAATTCCCGGCAATTGTTTGTAGGACTTTCTCTCATAATCCATCTCATGAATGAGAGAGAGAAATAAACAAGAATCCTAACTTTAGCAATGGCACTTTCATAATTTATATTACTTCAGACACAGGTTTCATAAATAAGTATAAAATGGTTTATGCTAAGCAATTAGAAATATATCCCACCTAACATGCTTGCTCTAAGGCTACTGACAGCAACTGATACCTGTCAGTTGTGGTCAAATTTTCACTTATTTCATCTAAGCTTCTTACTAGGATCTTAACTGGAAGTCTATTAAGAAGAATCTATGTCTATTTAACTATAAAATAATTAAATATAATGAGCTAAGATTGTCTAAGGCTACACTTTCCCTATTTTTTTTTTTTGCTTAAAAGCAAAGTTCTTATTTATATTTCTATAATAATATCAGAAAATAAAAAGTGCAATTTAAGATTGGGTACTGAATGGGCTGATTTGGTCACTCTTATCAGTATCATTATTCTGGTAGCCACATCAATCATCTGTTCTTTCTAGTCTTCGAAGAAGCAACAATGAAAATGTTAAGGCTTATAGTAACAGCAAGGAGGAGTGCAGAATGGCACTAAAACCAAGCCAAACTTTTCTTTCCCTACTTTCTAGCCCACTCCCTCCAAAATCCACAAAAAGTGCTAGTTTCATTTCCCCAATTACAAAAGCATGGCAATGTTTTTCTACAAAACTATGAAATATCAAGGCTTATAATCTGTACATTGGACCCTCCTCTTCAAAGGTTAAAGCAGAATGAAAGGTGATTTTCCTTTGACTGTAAGAGAGTAGTCTGTACACTGCACACATGGAAACAGTCTGACAGCATGATCCCCACGGAACGTATGTAAGAATACCAGAAATGGTCCATGTTGGGGGTCTTTGAATATCAGGGAGATCAGGATCCAGTATCAGTAATAGATACTCAAAATAAACCCTTAATGTTTAAGGCCAAATACTTTATAAAAGCTAGCTTGGTGGGTCTCAGCATCAACAACAGCTGCGTTTTGTCACAGAAGGCTGTCTCCTAAGTTTGAAGCCCTTACCAATAGATGGAGGGTTGGTATCTGTTGATGGAATTCTACGACCTGCAGAGGTAGGGAAAAAACAGCATTAAACAATATTAAAAGAACAATTTAGGAAGACTGTAAGTAAAATGGGTGACTATACTAATATGATAAATAAATAGAGACTCCTTCCTAAAGTTTAGCTCCGTTGCAAGACATTCATAAATTTGATAATACATAAAAACATAGAGAATTATTTTTCTCAAGACATCCATTCAAACAATTACATGTCAGGGAAAAAAACAATAAAAGACTTTTTAAAAAAGACTTGAAACCTTTTATGGATATTTTTTGATCAATGAAGGAAATACTGATGATTTATGGATATGGGGGAAGAGTTAAAGAGGAAGGGAAAAAAATAAAAAGGCAACAACTCAATAAAAAATGCAAAACTCAAAATTTATTTTTTTACTTCTTCTCTTTGTTCTAATTTTATTTTTTTTCTTATTTTTCTTTTCATTTTAGCACTGTCATTATATTATAAATTATAATAAAAATATTAACCCTCCAAATACTAAGATTATGTGTTTATTGAATTAAACAAAAGTACTGGTAAACTACCTAATAAATTATTCAAACTGCTTGGAATTCATCTTACAAGTTGAATGATTAATGATTAACTCTACATTTAACCTGGAAAAAAGCTCACCTATAAAGTTAGCATTTAAAGTTCATTTAATTAAATAAAAGTACCACACAAAATTGCCAAAGTCTTATCAGGTTAATTAGATATTATAAATGGTAGTGATAGGAAATATTGATAATTTTCTCTTTCTCTCTCTCCATGGAACCAAAGGTTCTTACACAATAAACTGGCAATTTGCTGAGGCAAAAATAAATATTTTGGACAGTACCAAACTATCATAAAATACACTATTAACACATGATCCTGGGTAGCTTAAATGAAGCTTAAACATGTTCATAGGAACAGCTGCATATAAAACATCTCCATGTTTATAAATTCAGTTCCCAGGAGAGAAATGGTATTATTTTTCTTATACCACCACAGAAAACTGGGAACAAGAACATGTGTTTATAATGTGGATAGTTAATACTTTGAGGAGAGGTGCTTCTCTCACATCAAAATACTGATTTCAAAAATTTTGCACAGCTCTAATGTTTACTGTATATTCCATATCTTCTCTTTCTAGTGATATGAAATAAATCCACTACATATTAGCAAAGTTAAGACATTTAACAGAATGAAAAATGTTAATGCTGGTACTTTTCTTATTCTTCTGCCAAAATATGATCTGGAAGTTCAAATTAACTTCTACATCCTAATGATGAAATGAAAGTGATACCAATTATGAAGAGAGTGTAAAACTGGTAGAAGCAGAGCATGAAGTTAATATAAGATTCCTTTTTGTTAGTAACCAGGAACCCAAGAAAAAAAATATTAGTGATTTACTGACATTGAATACTTACTTATTTCTATAAACAGTTCATTTATGTTTATTGCATTTTTTGCACTAGTCTCTACAAATATTGCATGGATGGAATCTGCATAGTCTTTAGCATCTTTTTCGATAACTTCTCTGCAGGGTGGGAAAATAATACATACTATAAATAAGCAGTATGATTTACCTTCATTTTAGCAAAGAAAATTAATTGCAAATCAATGTAGCATTATCAGTTATTTCTATAATTAATCCAAACTCTGTAAAACACTTTATCTGAGAGATGTGGAAATATAATCAGTTTTTGTTTAACACAATTTGTGGTGGTAGTACATCTCTTTAGGCTGCCAAAACATTAGTGGTTCAATATAATAGGCAGCTATAGAAATTGACTGATTGATTGAATAAAATACAGCAACAAAAGGGGTGTGGATAATTCTGCACTTCATAAAACATAAACATTTGGTTCCATAATGATTTACTGATAATTAAAAGGCAGTATTTTTTGTAATGTATGCCCAGGAAAAGATAGGTGGCAATTAGATGTTTAAATGAAGCTTAATTTCAGTATTCCTACATCTATTTCCCAGCATTCTGCCTTCCACTCAACCAATTATTTTGGAACTATGCTCTGTTCTCTCTCTGTCCAAACAGGATTTAATCCAATGCAAGACACTTACATAGTTATATACAGTTCATGCTGCATCCCTTCCATCCTTTGTTATTTAAAACATAGCCCGATTTTCTTTCAGTGGTTTGATTAACATAGTGACCAGTAATTAAAATGAAAGTAAATTAGTTGTGAATATTAAAAAATTAATAACATTTGTTTTGAGACAGCCTAAGTGTTTCATGCCTCTTCTTCAATGTATTAAAATTAATTAAGGATTAAAGTATCAACATATTTTTGGAACTTAGTATAGTTTGTACTGGTAGATTTTACTGGTAGATTTGTAGTAAAATATTACCAACAGCTGGATAAGATCCTGTTTAATTTACCTTACATCATTAAGATCACACTTATTTCCAGCAATTGCTACAACAATATTGGGCGGTCCATGCTGGCGGAGTTCTTTTACCCAGTTTTTTAATGTTGAAAATGTTTCCTAAAATGGAAGCAACAAGATCAGTAAATTTAATAAAACAGCAAATTTGTAGATTTTGCAAAGGCATTTAATTTACCTCTTTTGTAATATCATAGACTATAATAGCTGCTGCAGACCCTCGATAATACATTGGTGCCAGAGCACGAAACTGTAAAGAGAAAGAGCACATAAAAATGGCTTTTGTGCCACAGTAATCACATTAAATATTAAATGAAAAGAGAATTGAAATACGAGTAAGAGAAATAAAATAAAATTCATTATAAGACACCCTGATCCTCTATCAGTTTTTTTTCTCACATTTCCTCCTAACAAACAAGTAATACAGCTAAATGAGACCTAAGCATAAGAACTTGGAAATGCAATTTAAACAAAGAGAAAGCGATTGGCTCTGATTGCTTAGCAAGTTTCACAATTCAGTGGATTATATGTACCTAGAGCATTCTAAACTCTTATGTCTTTAACCAATATAAAACATTTTGATACTCTGTGGCGTTTTAGACAGGATTCATAAATTGAGGAACGGTAAGGGGACAGTACAGACGATACCTTTATTTCAATTGTTTGTTTTTAAGTAAAGCAATAAAGATGCTGGCATAATTTATTTTCCATCTCTAACGCAATATTACATATTACTATAGTATAGAGCACACTAATGGGCATTTTTGTAGAATATGAGGATATATAATGAATCCATTTATGATGTATCCATACAGTTGCTAGAAAGATTTATAATAAAGCAACTAGAAATTTAAAAAATGGCATATCATTCTACATATGAGGGTGCAGTGGTCAGAATGCAGTACTGCAGGTTAACTCACTGCTTACTCCAGCAGTTCGATTCTGACAGGCTCAAGGTTGACTCAGCCTTCTGTCCTTCCGAGGTTGGTAAAATGAGGACCCAGATTGTTGGGGCCATATGCTGATTCTGTAAACCGCTTAGAGAGGGCTATAAAGCACTATGAAGCGGCATATAAGTGCTAAGTGCAATATGACATGGGGAAAAAAAACTTTTTCTCATTTGTATATGCAATTTAAGCAATTTAAAACTTCAGCCAGAAGATCTAGAATGCATTATTTAGACATAGTGAAAGGAGAGAAAAAAGATATAAAAGATAAAGGTAAATTTTAATTCTGTTTACTGAGCACTTAAAGCAGCCCGAGTGGTATATTAGCTGCTTGTAAGGATATAGTTTTATTACACATGCGCCATGCTATGCAAGAGAATCAACGCAAATAATATCTCAAAGCAACTAGGTTTAAGGCTGAGTGGGAAATTGAAGCCAAATTCTTAGTCATACTGACCTTTTCTATAGTTGTTACAAAAGGGGACAAGACCACAATTCTGAGTCACAAAGCTAACAATACATCATGTTATTTAAGAGCTGCAAGTTTTACTCAAAAAAAAAAGATCCTCTATTTTTTCGAGCATGGCAGATTCAACCACATATAGACATATTTTTAAAAAAATAGATGCTAAAGTTTATTCTGTTATTCAAACCTGAAGATTGGTAAGAATTCTGAGACAATTAACTACTAGTCTTATGTAAAAAGCCATACTTTTACCCTGTGTTTCATACTTCAAAATTACAAAATACCTAGTAAGCGTAGACACTCCTAAATTTTAGGGACTGTTGATTTACTTGTTTATTAAAGATTCAAAAGAAAACACAAAAATAAAATGGAGGACATACCAAGCAATAACAATTATATATTACAGCTATGCAAAACACTTAAAGGAGCACTTTTTAAAGTGTGTTGATGCAAATAGCAAGTGTGTATTTTGAAGTGTCTCTCCTCAAAATGCTGACATGACACTGTCCTCCAGAAGGTTGGGAGTTCCTGTAGTGAGGGGTTGCCCATAATACAGAGTTGCTTTGCTAGCAGCTTCAGTGAACTACTGGCTATACATGCCCCAAAAGATATTCATGGAAAAGGCCCCGAAGCAGCTCTATATTCAAGAGGAGCCAACATGTTTTGTGAAATGCCTCTTCAAATGCTTTGCATGCAGTTTTCAAGAATGTCACTTGTTTAGATCCATATGTGTGGTGGGGGAGCCTTAAGTGGATAAATATTAATGAAGCACAGAAAAAGGCTTCCTCAAGCAGGACATCATTTAAGGAAGAAGTGAGCAATGGAAGCTTCATTTTTAATATATATTTTTTCTAGCAGATATAATTACATCACCAAAGAGGGGAAGCTAAAATTTTGAGCCTATTTTTTACTGGCAAAATGTTAATTCAACTTACTTGAAACAACATTTCCAAGAATGGGGAAGTGAAAATTATAATGATTTTAAAATAGCAGTCTTAAGAGGAAAAGTAATCATCCTTCTGCTATGAGTCTAACTTCACATGCTATACCATTCCTAGGTTATCTTATCATCAAAGCGTCATTAAACTTCCTGAAGTACAAAAGATAAACTGGCCCAGAATACATAGAGCCTAGCATGGATCCAGGCACCATAGAGTAATTATTAGTATACATTTAAATAAGGATATTATCTTTTTCCTATGCATTTTTTTTACTATGCATCAAATTGTTTTCCAATTCATTTTCTCATTTTCTCTTAATCCACGGACATATTAGAATAAGACTATTTCTAGAATTAAAAAAAAAGTACTGAGGTCAATGAAGATTGGACATAATATATCTACAAAAGCATTTATCTATCCTTTATCTCAGTGTGTCATTTCACAAAACAATGAGAATGATTCTGAAATTCCCTAGTACGAAATCTACATTTATACTATATCTAAGTGACTCCTGCTAATTAAGAAAAGCACTATAAAAATCCCTTATAATAATAATAGTAGGTCACAGAGAAAGATTTCATTAACCCCTATTTAAAAATGCTTTATCTACTTACTCGTTCTTGTCCTGCTGTATCCCATATTAGGAATTTATGTAATTCATTCTGATACTGCACCGTCTTGGTCATAAAAGATGCTCTGAAAAGGATGTAATACATGAATATACCGTAAAACAAAGAAAGCCATGAACTGCAAATCAACATATTTCTCATAAAACATATTAAGGTTTGGATTAATTTTATAAATTTAAAGATGCAAGGGAAGGAAAAATTTGTATATTTCATGTTTTCTTTTATCTAAGAAATAAAGAAAACATATGAGACAAGATAAATGTTTTAGACCAGCGTTCGTCAGTGAACCGGTGGCAGCCACAATGGTTTCACACACATGCTTTCACAAATGCAGCTTCATGTGCATGTACACATGTGCGCTCACCCACCACTTCCACGGCCTGATTCCGAACAGGCTGTGGTCCGGCACCAGGCTGCGAACCAGGAGTTGGAAAGCCCTGCTTTAGACAACTAGAGTGGACTGAAGTATCCATTCCTTTTTCTTTTCATAACAGATCTTAAAATGGGAGGAAAGTGCACAAAGTTCAAGTTGCTTTGTTGGTGTTTATATTACAACATAGGTTGCTGGACTGGCTGCTTTATTTAATTACTAGGAAAAGCTACATGGGGCAGAATTTTGCTAAAGTTGGGCACAAGGCACTGAGGCTTATTTGTTTTCTTAAAAGCCTCTATTTACTCCATTTCAATTCCTACTGGACTTATTAAGCAAAAGACACAATATATCCACATGCTTTATTTAGTAAAACAGAAAGACCTCAATTTATTATCTAGGACAAATATTGCCCAATGAAAACTTTAACAAACCTATCCTCGTGCAACCAACACAAAATAAAAACTGGAACTAGAGGGCAAAATAATTTGATATAGCACGCTTTTAATGCTGCAATTTATACTACAAGAATGGAAGGACTGCCATTTCTCTACCAATTATATAATGGTCTGAATTGCTTCTCATTGCATACTTGAGCATTCAATTACTCAGAGTCTAGAATGGAGGAGGATTGTTGAATAATTTTGTCTGAGTATACTACTGTGTAGGTCAAAAGGTCCTCTTTTTTCTTTTAGACAAATTAATTTAACTAAACAATTCATAGCATGATATAAATACAAGATTAAGACTATTTAAAAAGGCAATGAGCAATAAATATTCACACAAATTCTTCGTTTCTATCTTTTTATTTTCTTTAGCAAATAGCAACATTAAAAACCCTAAACATGGAAATAGTTTTGTGTATCACTAAGCAGAACAATATGGTTATTTTTGGCATTGTTTCTGAAATGAAAGTTTGTTTCTTGCCATTGTTAAAATATGAACAATCATCCTAAGGATGCAGAATAAGGATGCAGGGTTAGAGTAGAAGACCTCCAAGGTCTCTACCAACTCTGTTATTCTGTTAATAGCTTCAAACTTTGTTAAATGGTTTTAATTGTAGAATCACTAAACCATACTTCAAATGTTGAACAAAATTGGAAGGAAAAAAAATATCACAGTTTTTAAAGTCTCTGATGTCTTCAACTGAAGGAAAACAAATGTGCAGGATTGCCTATTGTTTAGAAGGCGTTTGGAAAAAAATGATACCGAACTATTTATATTGATTTTTGAAAGGTCAAACAATTTTACAGAATTCAGGATACAGCATATACAGGATACAGGACATACTATATAGGATGAGAGCCCTGTTTGGTTCAGCGGTTAAGGTCCCAGGCTAAAAACCAGAAGACTGTAAGTTCTAGTCCCACCTTAGGCATGAAAGTTGGCTGGGTGACTTTGGGCTCAGGAATTTGGACTCAGGAATTCTGGGAGTTGAAGTCCACAAGTCATAAAAGAGCCAAGGTTGCCTACCCCTGGGCTAGTCTGTCTCTCTTTTAGCCCAACTCACCTCACTGGGTAGTTCTGGGGAAAACAGGAGGAGGATGGAGTATTAAGGATATTTGCTATCTTGGGTTATTTAAAAAAATAAAGGTGTAATTAAAAATAAAATAAATTCAGATTCTCGAAATATCTATGCGTACTATGACTGAATGTGGAAATAAAATGGGATGGGGGATGGATACTGGAGACATAGGCACTTGTGGTTGACCATACAGGAAGCCTTTGAGTGTTCATATAAGCTAAGAAGTGGAAACCCATCTTACATCAATGGTATTAGCGTACAGGATGTTACCCAGAAAAACAGAAGTATTCCAACTATTACATTGTTAAAATTAGCAGTTTAAACAAATGAAATGAAACAGTAAAACTGGCATTATGTAGAATGCAAATAAGATTTAAATTTTTCTGAAATCCTTACGGCACTGTTTGTAAAGTAATGGGAACAGCCACTAATTTTTTTTATTTGCATTCCCAATTCATTTTCCAAAATAATTTTCTGTACTGCTCTCAAAAATGGCTTAACAAGTATTCATTTCAGTTTATTGAAATGATTTATATGGCTGCTCAACTAGCAGATTTCATAACAAGGATGTACATAGAATTAAAAATACAAAGTAACTAATAAACATAAAAATCACAAGAAGCACAACATATTGTAACACAACCAAGGTTGTACCGTGCTATTAACAATCTCAATGCTTTGGGGATAACCCAGATTTTTCAGGGTCTTATGGAAACCCAACAGAGTTGGAGCCATCCTACTTGGGGATGGGGTATTATTTTGTTCCAAAGGGCAGACATAATGACAGAAGTCCTGCATTCTAGGTTTTTCTAAATGACGCTGTTTCATAGAAGGGACCTCACGTCCACTCTATTAGGCTTCATGGGACAGGTAGAAATAGCAGGAGATAGGTGTTCTTGCAAATCTTGCCTTATTTAGTGTATTTGCTAGTAACCTATGTAAATTAGGCAACCCCTAATTTGCTATTTGAACCTTGTATTTTAAAAATTATAAATAAATTTAGGATAATTGAAGACCAAATGATCAATCATAAGCAATTAGAGAAATATTTGTAAATTTTATTTCTTTTTTCCCCAGTGAATTAATTGGCTCTTGAATTCCTCTGAAGGTAACATGTTTGGAACATTTATTGAAACAGAATGACGTGTCTATGATACAAGTCAGTTAAAAGCAAAATGTGCAAACACAACGAGACTTTACTGGTCTGTAACAAAGAAAACATTTGTATAATAGCCTGATAATGTAAAGATACTTCAGCTTGTGTTGAATCTGCAGCAGCAGTCTGACAGTATAACTTCTACACTAATTATCTACAAAATGGGAGGTGGCAAGATCCATGACCAAATATACCAAATATACTAGTTCAGTGGTTCTCAACGTTTGTGTGACGGCGACCCCCGTCACACAAACGTTATGCACATGCGCGGCGCGCATGCGTGGCGCCGCCCCTGAGGGGAGAAAATGGCGGATCACCGCCTTTGGCGACCTCCGAAAAATGGTCGATCGACCCCAAATGGGGTCGCGACCCATAGGTTGAGAACCGCTGTACTAGTTTATAGTAATCTAAAATGTGTTATGGCATAATCATTTCTCAAAAACAATAGAATATCAGTAATGGTTATTCTTTCTAGAAATATTTGTAAATATTATTTACATTATTCCTACAAAAGGTAAAATTAACAAGTACCCATTTTTATTTTCAAGGAAATTCTTCGAGTTCTCATTCTTCAGTTAGAATTTGATCCTTATCAATGAATGATTTATCATAAATCCTAAAGAACTCTATATGGATTATCCAACAATAATCAGTACTAAAAGTCATCTCTACTGAAGTTGCTCTGCCACTATTCAACCCTTTTATCGTTATTATTTAAAGATAGATAATTGACTAGTTGTGCAGGATAGCTGACTCCAATATAAAACCTTGCCAGTTTCATTCAGTGCTGATGGGGTAAGAGGTCACATTATCAGCCTCTGACATGTCGGGTGCAATAGGGCTCGACATTCTACCCTTTTGTTAACGTCTACATGAACCACTGGGCAAGGTCAATGTGCTGATGATATCCAATTTCACATCTCAGTCTTGATTTAATCAGATTATGCTGTCCTGATTCAGTGCCTGCTTGTATAGGCCTGGATAGAACAGTTCAATCCTACAAGTCAAGTGACATTGTTTCTTTGACATCCCCTCCCCTCCCTTGTTCTGAGGACATTCTATCTAGTCATTAATTATATTGAAGTTCTCCATGAGAGACTATTGTGAAATCTGAGGGTCCTCTTGGACTCACAGCTCCTGTACAAGAGCAGATGGCAGCTGTGGCTGAGAGAGCCTTCAGACAGATTTATTTAGTGTGCCAGTTGCATCTGTTCCTAGAATGAGAAGTCTTTCAGATAGTCACTGAAGTCTTGGTTACTTTTTGATTGGACCCTATATGTGGCTGCCCTTGAAGACTACTTGGAAGATACAGCTGGTCCTGAATACAGTGGCATGTGCAATGATGTTTCTGCTGCTTTGAGAACTGCACTGACTGCTAGTTGGCTTCTAGATTTCACTCAAGATTTTGGTTATCACCTATAAAGCCCTTCATGCCACAGGGCCTGGCTACTTGGGGGACCATCTGTCTGCAAGTGTCTGGCCATATGTTGGGGTCAGCAAGTTTAGTTTATATTTGCTCTTATTACTGTAACCAAAATCTTTAATAAAATTATGAAAAAAACAAACTTTATATAACTGTTAGCTTTCTAGCTCATTGTTTTATATGAACTTCTGTTTTTTATTATTATTAAACTTCTATGCTGCCCACTTTGTCGAGGTGATTCTAGGCAGCTTACACTCATAAAATTAAAATAGGATAGAAAACCTTAAAACAATAAATAAAAACCAAACATTTAAAATTCAGATAAAATTCAATTAATCAAGCTGGGAAGAAGGGAACAAGTATCTAATCCATTAATCACCTCCAAGATGCCACTCCTCTTTGGGCCCCCAGCCCAGTAGGCAGAGGCTGATTTTAGATACTTACCCAATTGTTGGATTGATGTTTGGATCGAAGCTGTCTTCTACAAAGCGCCATACAATGCTTGATTTGCCCACACCTGTGTCCTTAAAGAGAAATGAAACAAGTAATTTTAAGCTTCCTATCTGCATTTCTAGGAGCTCTAGTCTCAGCATTTTCCATCCAACTTCTATGAATAAATCAATTTCTTTTTACAAAAAATAACTTAATCTAAACATTATCCAGTGAATATCATTTGAAACAATTAAATAGATAAAGAAGGATTCTTAAAATGTCAACTAGCAACTTAATATCTGAACCAGAAACATTACAGGTGGTCCTCAACTTACAACAGTTTGTTTAGTGACCGTTCAAAGTTACAACAGCACTGAAAAAAGTGATTGATGACCATTTTTCACACTTACAACTGTTGCAGCATCCCCATGGTCACATGATCAGAATTCAGATGTTTGGCAAATGATTCATATTTATGATGGTTGTAGTGCTCCAGGATCAAAATATTTTTTGGAAAAAGAAATTAGCTTTTGTGATCTTCTGACAAGCAAAGTCAATGGGGGAGCCAGATTCATTTAACAACCATGCTATTAACTGCCGTGATTCTTTTAACAACAATGGTGGCAAGAAAGGTCGTAAAATGGGGCAAACTTCATTTAAGAAATGTCTCACTTAGCAGCAGAAATTTTGAGTTCAATTGTGGGCGTAAGTTGAGGACTACCTGCACTTTATTTGAATCTACTATAATCAACAGTCTAAGGTAACATAAGATAATGATTATAAAATTTATAATAATAAATGATAGAGCAAAGCTACTATACTATACAAACATTTTGAACTTTCTGAGTAAATATGCATTAAATTGTCATATTATTTTGTTCTGTCCAATATGAACAAAATATGGGCTATATATGCACTCATAAGTAACTTTACTCAGTGAACCCAACTTTCTGGACCACATAAACACAAGGGCTATTGAACTGACACTGCAACTTCAATAGCAGCAAGTAGTTAAATGGCCTTCATACTGTCTATTGCTAGAGTGTTATTTTAGATAACACAGTACTTCTATGTTTTCCCAAATAAACATTTGCCATGTAAACATAGTAACATAATATACTTTACCAGAGACTAATTTCAACAACTATACAAATAAATGATCCACCCTAAAAATATGTATACTAACTAAACAACTGGGATAGGAAAGAAGGTGTTTTAGGTATTTCAAGGGTGTTAGTAAACGGTGTTGTTACTCATTCAACCTCTCCCTATTTAATGAAAGGCTACGTATGAATTCATAAACCTGAGGAGGAAAAACATTAAGCAGGTATGGGTTAAGTATTTGAGAAAGTATAGTGATGTTTCTGTAATTGTTTTGTGTACAAATATGGACAAAAAGCCAATGATTTTTTCACAAATGCTAATGTTGCATCTATGACTTTATTTATTTAGAGAATTTATATTATACAAAAAATAAAACCTCAATATACAAAGAGTAAAAACAATAACCCCACACCTCCATCATTAACAGTAATGTCATGACTTTGGAGGAAATGGCTTGAGCATTTGGTCAAAATTTATGCCAAAGGTAAATATTTTTTTTAAAAAAGTTTAAGATGTAGTAGTTAAGGTGATAGGCTAGAAATCAGGAGACTGTGAGTTGCAGTCTTCCCTTAGACACAAAAACCGGCTGGGTGACTCTTTCAATCCAATCCATATCAAGTGATTGTTGTTAAGGGTAAATAGGAGGAGCCTTGATTTATATAAAAGGCAGGACAAAATAATAAGAACAATACATGGATACATTACAACATCCTAGGTTCTTGGAAAGAACTGGCAGCTGTGACTTCACATTTTTATAAAGAGATTATAACAGTTTTAGCTGAAGATCCTGGGATTCAGCAAGGCTGGTACCGCTAGTCTTCAACTCACAACCATAATTCAGTTCAAAATTTATGTTGCTAAAGGAGGCAGCTAAGTGAGTTGCACCTCATTTTACAACTTTTTGCACAGTTGTTAAGCAAATCACTGCATCTGTTAAGTGACTCATACTGCCATTAAGTGAATATGGCTTCCCCCATTGGCTTTTCTTGCCAGAAGCCAGTTAGGAAGGTTACAAATGGTGATCACATGACCCCAGGACAGTGCAACTGTCATAAATACCAAGCGCCTGAATAATGACCATGGGGATGCTACAATGGTTGGGTGAAAACTAGTCATAAATCATTTTTTCGGTGCTGTTGTCATTAAACAAATGGTTGTTTAGGACTACCTGGATTTCTAAAGAAAAAGGAAAGGTATGTTTGTTTCAAAGTTCTTAAAAATATGCACATTCTTCTCCATTTAATGTATAATATATGAAATATTCTGCCTTATTCTATATAGGTAGTCCTCGACTTATGATCGATCACAACTGAGCCCAATTTATGTTGCTAAGTGAAACATTTGAGTTTTGTCCCATTTTATGACCTTTCTTGCCACAAGTGAGTCACTGCAGCTATTAATTTAGTAACAGGGTTGTTAAGTGAATCTGTTTTTCTCATTGACTTTGCTTTTCAGGATCACATGACCCTGGGACACAGCATTGGTCATAAATATGAACCTGTTGCCAAGCATCTGAATTTTGATCACGTGACTACAGGGATACTGCAATGTTGTAAGCGTGAAAAATGGTCATAAGTCCCTTTTTTCAGCACCGTTGCAACTTTGAACAGTCACTAAATGAACTGTTGTAAATCAAGGACTACTTGTACCAACCATAGGGCACAGTCAATGTTGATTAACTCCTTTATATGCAGAACAATTCTGGTAAACAGAGAATATTGCTTTTCTGGAAAACTGTATATTTTTCTCCTATAAACCTCTCTCAGAATTTGGCTTTAATTCAAATTACATTCTTTAAGTATTAACTTTTTACAATGAAATCTTGTGATTATCTCAATTAAATGTTCCTGTAGTCTTAACCATCACCCTGTTTTTTTTTAAGATAAAGGATTTTGTTGCATACTCTTTAAATGAATTTTAAAAACTTCTCTCAAAATCTGACAACTGGGAATTTGCACATATGTTTTAAGCAGTTTTTTACAGAAATATTGCAAATAATTATAGTGGAATAGTGTTGGAGAACAAATTAGAAAATACCTTTCCTCTCCAAGAAAGAACAAAACCTCTAAAAGTTGCAGCCTTGAGTACATATTTGAAAAGAACTCCTACAAGAGGGAGCTCAGGCTGGACTCTCAATAAATGCATTATGAGGAGCTGCTTGAAGTTAAAAAAGAAAAGATGAAAAAAAATAAAAATAAAAGGAGCGTCACCACCCAAATCCATATTGTGAATTTCAGAAGTCAAATGCCTGTCAGACGATAATCCTAAAAAGACTGACCTGGGATACGCCTTTTTGAAACCTGCCGAGAATTGGGGTGAAGCTGTTCAGGCACTTCTCTGGGGAAGGGGGGGGGAGAAACAGACCACCTTCAGTTCTAAGCTATGATTCCCCCAGCCCCACCACTAACGAAACGATTACCGCAGAAAACCACAGCCGAGCTCCATGGAGAGCAAACACCCTTTCTTCTTCCGAGGAAGGCGCCGCCGAAAATCCAAAACGAACTTTTAAAGCAGCTTTAACAAAGGAGAAAAGAGAAGCCTCGCTTGTTTTCTCCCGCCCTTTCCACTCACCCCAAGGAGGCAAACTTTCAGCTCCCGCAAAGCCATCGCTCGAGAACGAGGGGTCGCCGCCGCTTTTAGGAACTGCGGGCGCCGTCCGGCCACACCATCACCCTTCGCGGGACTCACATGGAAAAGCCGCCCCGCAGCTGCCCAGCGGAGTCCCCGGAGAAGGCGGCCGAAAAGGAGAGGCCTCGCAGGGCGGGCCCAAAGAACCAGACTGCGCCCTGCCTCGGCTCCGGGCTACAGGTGAACGCGCCTCTTCCTTCTCCTCAGAACCCACAGGCCGTACGCCATCTTGGACAGCCCCGCGACGAGCGTCACGTGACGGCGCTCCGCCTCCTTTCCCAGTGACCTAATCCGGGAGGGCGAGGAAGGAAGGAACGCCCATCTTGGCGCGCGGGTAGCCTCTCTAGTTGTCGAGGCGCCTCGGCTGCGCGCAGTCCTCACCGCAACGCCATTCGATTGCTCTGCCTCAGGGCGGCACCCCGGGCCAGGAGGAGCGGCGGGGAAGAGGTTCGGTCCATGGAAACCGCCCTTGACGTTTGATTTCGGGCGAGTGGCGGAGGCAGGGCGCTGCCCCAGGCGACCGGGATAGCCGGCAGCTCCTCCTTTCGGCCGTCCTCTCCGGGCCCCAGTCTCCTCCCCACCCATGCGCCTTTCAAAATGGCTGGTAAGCGGTGGGGCTGGGGTTCTTCGCGGGCTGCTTCTGGCGACCGGCTTACCCCTCTCTGTCCCCTGCTGTCCTCCGCCAGCTTTAAATGTGGTCTTCTGCTGCTTGGGGTCGGAGGCTGTTTGAAGATGGCGGTGCCGTGGCGTCTGGGGGCTGTTTCATGCGCTGCTCTTCAGGCTTTCATTTGTTTGTTTTATGCCTGCCCTTCCCCCGTTCCCTCCCCCGGTCTTGTGGAGCAACAACAGCAACACAACCCCCCCCCCCGCGTGTCTTCTCTCTTTCTTACTCTTGTTTTCATCATTTGTAGGGATCCCTTTGTATTTTGTGGATTTGCAGGATGACTTAGATGATTGTGAGTAATTTGTTTTAAATTTTTCTTAAAAAACACACAAACACATGGACACAAAGGAAAATGGCAGTGAAATCGTGGTGGTGGCTTTCCCAAAGGAGCTCTGACTTTTCTTGTTAAAATCCCTCTCAGAGAGGTCGAAGAGGATTACAGTATAAAGATTAGGAAGTCGCTCCTTCCTCTCTTCAGCTTAGGAGACTTGCTATTTGTAGAAAAAGCTATATGTTAAAAGTGTAGCTTTGAATTATACTGGAGGCTTTTTGATTTGTGTAGGTTGACTACTCCAGTTTGAAATCCATAACTGTCAATGTCATTGGCTTAATTGAGCAACCTAGCTTTTTGAAGGTGGGCCTTAAGTGAGCAGATACATGGAGTTATAGTTCCTATGAATCTTAGTCTGCTGAAAATGTTGGGGATAGTAATCACATATCTGAAAGACCATCTTAATCTTTTGCAGGGTTGAGAGATCTGAATAAAGATTCTGATATGTTTTAATTTATAATACTGGTATAGTTTCCAGTTTCCTTTAAATAAACAACAAAAATTTGTGTACATCCTATAGTATTAGCTTTAAAGCCGAGAGGTGAAAGAGGGTTTGGGTCATCCTATAAATACTTAAAAGGAAAAAATATCCATTTATTTGGGATACTCACATGCTGCAAAACAGAATCTACCTCTATTTTTACATACTGGGTTCTGTTTTGCTTTCTGTGACTGGCAAAAACAGTGGTTGCAGCATCAATTAAGTTTAAAGAAAAACTTGCAGGAAGTAATTGTACATTGAAGGTGCTGTCATTAAAATGCAGCCTTGTTAGATCAGTACTGAGTTTGCTTTTGAAACTTTTGTTGATTTTTATAATACTAACACTTGATTTTTGTGAATATATAGCATTGTAATGTAAATTAAGGAAATTTTAAAATAACCTTTATTGTCATTTTTTTCTATAAACACACTGGCACACATTAAAATCATGCCCGCTCTCAAAAGAATGAATGAATACACACACATGCACACACACACACACATATTAATCACAGATCATTTTAGAATACATAGTGGAAAAAGTCTTGAGTTACATTTTACATTCTAAATCAAAATCTGTCAAATTTTATATTGTAAGCATGACTAAGACTTTATGTTCAGATCATATTTGTCTAATACACTTCATCTTAACAATATTTCTTTCTATATGAGAAAATGTGTACATTAGACATCCTTTAAGACAAAGTTCTCAAAGGATGTGTTTCATCTCTAGGTCATGAGACAGGAAATGGGGGGGGTCACTAGTGAGTGCTGTCTTTGTGCTCCTTTCAGAGCAAACTTACTGTATTAGCTTAATGCAAAGGAATGGGACAGTTCCAGGTTCTGTAGTGTGTTCGCCTTCCAAGGCAGAGTCATACCTAGAGGTGTGAGATTTCTATGCAGAGCTCTGGCCATCAGATCTGATTCTCATTTTGAAGATGGCATAGGGAAGGGAAACAAACAAGGTTCAATTATCTCATTGTGGGTATGCTTGAAGACAAGGCACCCAAAGCAAACCCTAGCCTCCCAATATTTTGCAAACTGAAGCATTTTAAGAGAACCTAATTTAAAGCAATTAGAACACTATGCACATATGCAACACACACAATTGCATGCATATGTACATGTAAATTTATATGTAAACAGAGTGAGAAGGGTATCACCAAGTATTTAATTTTACTCTTTTATAATTTGATCTCATAATTACTTTCTCAACCTTCTAATGTTTCCAGTGTTAGCTGCAGTAATAAGTTATCAAAAATTTAGCTGCTTTATATTACTTGCTCCATAGTTCAGTTATGTGTATGTTAACTTAAATACCATTAATTAATTGGGTTTACTTTGAAATAATTATTATTTTATAGTTTGATCTCATAATTGTTCTCTCAACCTTCTATTAATGTTTCTAATGTTAGCTGCAGTAGTAAGTTATCAAAAATTCAGCTGCTTTGTATTACTTGCTCCATATTTCAATTCTGCATATATTAACATAAGTTATTGGTTTGTGCTTTAAGTTATGTTCTCTTACCCTCTCTGTATCTTCTATCAAAAAATTATCAATTTTCTTTCACTTGAAAGGACTTTATTTTAAAACAATTCTGTGGCAATGCTATGCAGTACTTTAGATCTGAAGGCAAAAAGGTGCTTTAAAACAGAGGTCCCCAACCTTTTGGGCACCAGGGACCGGTGCCATGGAGAAAGGTTTTTCCATGGACCAGAGGGTATGGTTTTGAATACTGCCTGCATCCCAAGGATGGAGGTTTGTTTGTTTGTGTGGCCCGCTTGTTGGCATGCTGTGGACCAGTGCCAGTCCACGGACTGGGGGTTGGGACCCCTGCTTTAAAACACATAATACAAACAATATTTGTTCACAACTCCTTAAAGCATCTGTGTGCTCTTAGAAAAAGTTGCATTTAGTTTAAGGAGTTAGAACTTCTTGTCTTGAAATATGAAGAGCTGGATAGAATTTTTCCATGATTCTTCCTGTTCCATTTGTAACAGCATGTTTGCAACAAAAAACCTGTTCATTTTTGCTGATTTAATGAGAATCTTGTGAATTGAAGATTCTTGGATCCTGTTCATTTTGATAGTAACAAATAGGCTGTAATTATAGGATTTAGCTAACCTAACCTCAAAATCCATGGTTTTGTTCTCTATTTATAATCATACTCTGCCACATGACTAAATAGCTGTATTTAGTTGAGACCCCAAGGCTATCACAGATCATAATTGCCAGTTGGAATTGAACTGTTCAACTTGCAGACTCATCTTTCTCTTTAGATTTTAAGAAAGATGTATTCATTGTTTCATAAAAAAAGTCTGTAGATAGGAATATACATTTAAATTTCCAGTTTAGATAGATATTAGTGTAGCAGACTATACTGGTAGTCCTTGCTCATCAGTGATAATTGGGACTGGGAACTCTATCACTAGGTGACACAATCTTAAGGTGTGATGTCACATGACTGCATGAACTTAAGATAACAGAACCAGTTGATACTATTAGGTGAATCTCAGAGTGGTTGCAGTGTTTTATGGTCACGTATTACCATTTGCAACCTCCTGTTGGTTTCCCCATTGACTTCACTTGTCAGTGGAGAGACACTTATGTGTGAGTTTTGCTGGAAGTGCCACCTCCCTGAGGCACATTATGCTACTTACAACCTCTCCACTCAGGCTGAAAATCCTGCTTGGATTTCAGCTCCCCTTAAATCCAAGGAGATACAGAACTGAAATTCTCTGGAAAGCAGCTCTTTCACCCAAGCCCCAGACTGAGGGAATTCTCTTCACAAATATCAGCATTTGCAGTCTTCCTGCTGGCTTCCCCACTGACTTTCTGGGGAAGCTGGCAGAGAATATCAGAATGGTGATTGCATCATCACGGTGTGCTTGGCAAACAGATCATAAATGCAAATAGGTTGCTAAGCACCCAGATTGTGATCATCTGACTATGACCATGTGTGCAGTCTTTGTGATGGTCAGAAGTAAAACACTCTTTTTGAGTCTGTCAATAATTTGAAGCATCATTAAGTGAATGGTTGTAAGTCAAGGACTACCTGTATAGTAGCTTCTCCTGGTGTTACTGGGAGTGTGGTTTTCTCCTTGGTATTACCTTGTTTAGTTTATTGTTTTCTATTTAATTCTTTGGTGTCACTCTCTGCTTATTTGGGTGTTGACTATTGGAGAGGATGTGTTCTGGTGTCCCCCGCCCTTTTTGTTGTCTCTTGAATGGTGTGTAATATGGTTTATTTCTATATGTCTATTGATGGCTGATTTGTCTGAATGCCAAATTTCTGGCATTTTTGGATTTGACATGGTTTAGAAGGTTCACAGTTTCCAAGCTGAAAGTGTGCCCATGTATTGTGAAATTAAGGAGTTTTCATGATGTCTTCTGGTGTTCATTTATGTGCTGTGCTAGACTTCTGAATTGTGTTTCTAATTTGCTGTTGTTTCCTCTAGTGATGAGGACATCCAGAAAGGGTAATGGGTATGAATTTTATTCCTTTAAAGATGTTGATTGCTTCATGAGTCTTTCCTAGTTCCTTTTTTTATTATTATGACAAAGACATCATTTGCATACCAAATCCATACTTCTGGTTGTATGTGTGGAAGTGGTGTAGTTTCTAGACCAGTGGTTCTCAACCTGTGGGTCGGGACCCCATTTGGGGTCGAATGACCATTTCACGGGGGTCACCAAACCATGCTGTCCGCCATTTTTTTCCCTTTTCCCTAGCTCTCCTACTCCCTCTTATTGGTGGCCACACCCACTTG